TTGTCATGTATCCAACAAGGTGGTAGGCACCCAGTCTCTCTCTCTCTCTCTCTCTCTCTCTCTCTCTCTCTCTCTCTCTCTCTCTCTCTCTCACACACACACACACACACACACACACACAATCTCCAGGGACAGGGAACTTGAAACTCCTACCTACTGAAGGCAGTTCGATTTTTTTGGATAGCTTTAATTAAAAAAATATATTTTTCCAATTACATGTAAAAACAATTTGAATATTAATTAAAAAAAAGATTTGGAGTTCCAAATTCTCTCCCTCCATCCCTCCCCTCCAATCTCATTGAAAAGACAAGCAATTTGATACAGGTTATATATGGGCAGTCATGCAAAACATATTTCCATATTAGTCATGTTGCAAAAGAAAATACAGACCAAAAAAAACCCCATCCAACCCAGCAACAAAGTCAAGAAAAGTAAAGAAAGTTTAAAAGTATGCTTCAGTCAACACTCAGAGTTCATCAGTTCTGTCTCTGGAGGTGAATAGCATTTTGCATAAGAAGTCCTTTAGCATTGTCTTGAATCATTATATTGCTGAGAACAGCTAAGTCATTCATGGTTGGTTATCATATAATATTATTGTTACTGTTTGCACTGTTTTTCTGGTTCTGCTCACTTCATTGTGCATCAATTTGTGTAAGTCTTTTTAGATTTTTCTGAAAGCATCCTGCTTATCATTTCTTATAGCACAATAGTATTCCATCACAATCATATACCACAACTTGTTCAGCTATTCTCCAATTAATGGGAACTTCCTCAATTTCCAATTCATTGTCACCACCAAAAGAGCTGCTATAAATATTTTTGTACATATAGATCCTTTCTTATTTTTGTCTTTTTGGGATACAGAGCTAGTTGTGGTATTGCTAGATCAAAGGGTATGCATGGTTTTATAACACTTTAGACATAGTTCCAGATTGGTCTCCAGAATGGCTGGATCAGTTCACAACTCCACCAATAGTGCTTTACTATCCTGATTTTCCCACATCTCCAACATTTATAATTTTTCCATCAAATTAGCCAATTTGATTGGTGTGAGGTGGCATCTTAGAGTTGTTTTAATTTGAATTTCTCTAATCAATAATGCTTTAGAACATTTTTTTACATATGATGATCATTAGCTTTGATTTCTATAACCAACTGAGTGTGTATGTTATTCCCTCTTTTAACCAATTCCAATGAGAGTAAGGTTCAAGCATTCTCCGCTCCATCCACCCCCATTTCCCCTCCATTATAAAAACTCTTTCATGCTTCTTTTATGTGAGTTAATTTCCCATTCTACCTCTTCCTTCCCCCTTCTTCCAGTGCATCCCTCTTTCTTACCCCTTAATTTTATTTTTTTTAGATACTATCCCATGAGATTCAGCTCACACTCATGCCCTCTGTCTATGTATACTCATTCTAACTGCCCTAATAATGATATATAAAGTTTTAGGTGTTACAAGTATCTTCTTCCCATGTGGGAATATAAACAGTTCAACCTTATTGAATGTCTTATAATTTCTTTTTCCTGTTTACCTTTTTATGCTTTTTATGTCATATTGAAAGTCAAATTTTCTATTCAGCTCTGGTCTTTTCATCAGGAATCCTTGAAAATCCTGTATTTTATTAAATGTCCATTTCCCCCCCCCCCCCCACGGGAGGATTATTCTCAATTTTGCTGGGTAGGTGATTCTTGATTGTAATTTTAGCTCCTTTGCCCTCCAGAATATCATATTCCAAGCCCACCGATCTTTTAACGTAGAAGCTGCTAAATCTTGTGTTATCCTGATTGTGGCTCCACGATATTTGAATTATTTCTTTCTGCTTTCTTGCAATATTTTCTCCTTGACATGGAAACTCTGATGTTGGCTGTAATATTCCCGGGAATTTTTATTTTGAGATCTCTTTCAGAGGGTGATTGGTGGATTTTTTCAATGTTCATTTAACCCTCTGGTTCTAGGATATCAGTCAGTTTTGCTTGATAATTTCTTGAAATTAGTTGAGCTCTGTTCCCAGGGTGGAGGGGGCACTGTTTCAAGTTAGTTCTGGTGGTCTGTAAGTTTTCAGTTCTTCCTGGGTGGTATGATCTAAGGAGAGGTATGGTCACTGCTCTCCTGGCCTATACTCTGCTCTGTGAGCAACCACAAACACTCTTCTCTATACTGGAAGTATGATCAGGTTCCTCACTCCCCTGCTGACACATGCTCTAGTGTGCTAATGCTCCTCCTCACCCTGGTACTACAACCTGGAACTGTGTGTGGTCAGTGCCACAGACTCTTGCATCCAGTGCCAGGAAAGGGTCTCCTGTAATCTTCTGATCAGTTGTCTGACCAACTGTGAGTTGAGAGCTCTAGGAGCTGAAGCTGCTGATTCAGTTGCCCCCAAAGCTTGCTGCTGCCTTGTTGGGGCTCAGCCTGAGCTGGGCTGCATTCCACTCTCACCCCCAGTGAGACAGACCCTTCCTGGCAACCAACTGAGTCATCTTGGGCTGGAAAATTGTTTCTCCTCGTTCTTTTGTTGATTCTGCCACTCTAAAATTCATTCTGAGGCATTATTTTAAGGTTGTTTGGAGGGGCATTTGGGAGAGCTCAGACAGGGCCTTGTCTTTACTCTGCCATCTTGGTTGTACCTCCCAATATCTTTAATTTTTAAGATGATGTTGTTTATATCAGATCAGAATTTTCAACTAAGTAACTCCTATCCATTGGCCAAGATCCTCCCTTCTTCTGCCAAATAAAACAAGTTTGTCTAATCCTTTTTCTATATAACAGCCCCTCAAATATTTGAAGACAATGATAGTGCATCTCATGTCTTTTCTTCTCTAGGCTAAATACGCTCAGTTCTATAAACTAAGCTTTATATGGGGGTGCTTTTATGTCCCCATCACTATTTTGGTCAGGTTCATCCAGCCACATTCCAGTTTGTCCAGTATCCCTTCTAAAATATGATATCTAGAACTACATACATGACTCTAGATGTGGTCTGATGATTAGAAGAGGCCAATGAAATCAACAACTCTCTTATTCTGAGAGTGCATTTCTTTTAGTGCAATCTGTTATTACATTAGCTTTTATGGTTACCACACCACACTGCTGACCTCTCTTATTTGTAGTCTACTAGAATACCTATGTTTTTTTTTTTCCCACATGAATTATTTTTGCCACTATCTCTTTATCTTCTACTTGCATGGTTGATTAATTTGAACCCAAGAGGAGAACTTCAACTTATCCCTATCAGTTTTCTTCTAGCTACTTGTTGTATGTTTCAGTGGTACAGTGGAAAGACCAATGACCCTGGAGTTAGAGATTGTGAGCTCAGATCCACTGCTGGTGTTTAGTACCTATGTGGTCTTGGGCAAGGCTTTGGCTGTGAAGTTCCTCACCCGTAAAATAAGGGAATTGCACTAGATGGTGTCTAAGCTTCCTTCTGGCTCTAAATGTATGATAATATGACCTTCAGCTATACAATGTTATTTTTTTATCCAAATTTTGTGTTCAAACGTATTAGATAATGTCAGCTTCTTCTTATCCACAAATTGGAAAAGCTTGCCTTCTATCTTCATCCAAATCATTGATAAAAATGTTGATTTGTTTAAAAGTATATTATGAAAGAGTGCTGAATGCCTTCCTGAAATCCAGACATACTATGCCCCCAGCATTTCTCTGGTTTACTGGTCTGGTATTCTGTAGAACAAAGCAATGACATTGGTTTAGTATGGCTTATTCTTAATGAACTCATGCTGGTTCATGTGGATCATCTCTTTCCTTTCCATGATTTCATAAACTGATTTTAAAATAATTCATTCTAAAATTTTACTAGAAAATCATACTTCATAGTTTAACATATCTACCTTCCACTCTCATTTTTTGAATATTAAATCGCCTATAACATCTCTCATAATCATCACAATTCCCTAAACTTGCCAGTAAATCATGTACCCCCAACCTTACATTCTTACATCACCTTCAGACCTATTTCATTTACAAGTGACTTTGTCATTTGAAGTGTTCTCTTAACATTTCCTTATTTACCTGAGGTCAAGTTTTCTATTAACTATTTCCCCCTCAATCTGAAGGGCCTTTTCCTTGGTCCAGAAAAGAGAGTAAAAGCAGATTTGTGTAGGTCTGTCTTCATGATCATATTCACATCCACTCTGAGTAGGTTACTTCTCCCTTCCTTGATCTTCCTCTTGTATTCAACATAACTGTAAAAAAGCCCTTTTTGGTTGTTTTGATCATTTATCTCAATCCTCAGATAATAATAAGTTTTAGACTTCCTGACATTATTTTAATTTTTGTTTATAGATACAAATAAAAAATGATATTCTCTGATACCCTGCTCTCCCTTCTGTCTCTTGCACATGTCTTTTAAAAATCTGACCTCATTGGTGAGTATCCAGTACATCTATACTGGCTTCTTTAGAGACCTTCTCGCATGTCTTTCTCCCTGGAATCAATTGTGACTTCACCTCCAGAATTTCATTTTTGAGAACTCAAAATGCCCATATTTCATAGGCTGACTTCCCTTTTAGAGGTTCAGGTCATAGGATTCTACATATCCTATTTCTGAACTCTTTGAAATCTACTCTACTTAAATCTAAGGTACAAATCAGACTATTACCTAGTATTCCCCTCTTACCTATCAGGAATTCTAAAATGACACATCCTCAGACTCCCAAGGTTCCTATTATTTCTACTTCAGCCAGTTTAGGTACAGAATTGTCATTCAACTTCTGAAGGATGAAATGATCAACAATGCAAATCAGGAATTTATCACTTGCTCTGCTTTTATTTTTATTTTTCTTGTTGGTGTTAAATAGTTGCTTATTGGTGAAGGTGGATTGTAAAGGAGTCACTAGGTTAGTGCAGAGCTATAACAAGGCATAGTTAGAAAGAATGATGGGAGAGGTTCACACGTAGGTTTGGATCCCAGTGTCTGCTCACAGAAGAGGTATGTTGGGTAGCTTTCACTTACTGGGGCCCACTCAAGTGGAAGGCTCTGATTTAGGGCTTCATGTTGGGATTGTTAGAGATGTAGACGGAGATGAAGAGTGACTCACTGGTGTGTGACACCCTTGAACTAGTGGGTGGGCAATACTTGCCTTCACTGGCGAGGCTGAGGGCCTTGGCCCGTTTGAGGTACTCTTGCTGGGCCATCTTGACATTGCAGTCCTTCCCTCCCCAGATTTTGGCAGCAGATATCTGTAGAGGTTGACCGTAAGAAAAGGTCAGGATCCATGACTTGGGTAGGGAACATTTGTTGAGTGCATTGAGTAGCATAGTGGAATCCTCCTCACTCTGGCCTCCAGACATAAGGGCCACACCAGGTACTGCAGGGGGCACAGTATTTCGGAAAGCTGTTATAGTTGCTATTGCGATCTCCTCGAGGCAATATTTCTGGCAACAGTTGTAGCCTGGCATTACCATATTGGGTTGAAGCACAGTCCCTTCAAGGAAAATATGATGGTCATTCAGAGCCTTGAATACAGAAGCGAAAACTTTCTCCACAATAAATTGAGATTGCTTCAGGTTATGGCTTCCTTCAGAGAGGATGTCTGGCACAATGAAGGGTACCAGGCCATTCTGCTGGCAAACACTGGCATACCGACCCAGCACATTAGCATTTTCCCAAATGGCAAGAGGAGAGGGTGTATCCTCCCTAATCTTCAGTACACAACGCCACTTGGCAAAGTCAGCTCCGTCCTTCTTGTACTGGGCACAGCGCTCAGCCAGGCCATCCAGCCCTTGGGTGGTAGTTTCATTATTGGTTCCTGCCAGGGGTACTACACCTCTGTCCACCTTAATGCCCACAACAGTATTCTTGGTCTTGAGGACGTCTGGGAAGGGCCGGCCATCATCACACTTTTGGTAGAATGTCTCATGGGAAAGGACTACACCTCCGATGTAGTTGCTTATTTCATTATCAGTGGTCACAAACAGCTGGCGAAAGCAGCGCCTGTTTTCTTCGGTGTTCTCAATGCCAATACACGAAAAGCGCTTAGTCATAGTACAGAGGGACTCATCTAAGACCAGAACTCCCTTGCCTGGAGCGATCAGCCGTTTAACGATCTCCGTTAGGTCCTTCTTTTGATCCGATGTCAGTGCTTGGGCAGTCATGTTAACTTTGAAGTTGCAGTTTTCTATTGGGGAAGGAGACTCGGGAAAGAGCCTTGGCCTCAGGAGATGGGACTGGACCGTGAGCCAGTGGGAACTAACAAAACGACCTATAATCAGAATCCGAACCTCATCACATTCCAAAGCCGAATAGGGGCAATAGAACGGGGCGGGGGGGGGGACGCGGGGAGGGAGGGGTGCGAAAGTAGAGTTTGACCACTTAAAGAAACCTCACCTATAAGGTGGGCTTACTTTCTTTTTTTTTCTTTCTTTTTTTTTTTGAAACGGTGGGGACATTTCTTTTCTTCCAACTAAGACTGGTAGTGGGTGTCAAAGGTCTGGGTGTAGATCCTCTCTAGCGGCATGCCTTAGAAGGTGCGTTTGCTCCTCCTTGGGACCCATTTCTCCACCCCCTCCTCACCTCCTCAGGTAGGCGAGGGCTAGGTGGGCAATGAGTAGTTAGAATACAAGCTCCTTATGGGCAGGGACGGCTTCCTTTGTAGCCGAGTAGAATGCTCAACCCATAGTAAAAGCTCATTAATTGATTGAAAGAACGTACAGACGAGAGCTGAGGTACTGCGATCCAATAGAAGGGTTAATATTCAAGGAGGATTCTGGGGATAAGTGATAGAGCAGTAGTAGTTTGGTCCTGGGCCAGTGGGCCAGTGCATTCTCCTAACAAAGAGCTCAAAGACCACCCAACCCACCTTCCTTATTTTATATATGAGGAAACAGGCTGAGAAGTAATGTGACTTCTGCAGGGTCGCAGGTATAGTCAGCGTTCTGATTCCAAAGCCAGTTTTCTTCCGGCTGCACCAGGGATAATAACAAAGAAGGAGAAAATTAGAAGTGGGAGAAAGGGAGGAGAGTGCTATTTAAATACACTTTCTTTTTGAATTTATTCATTGGCTTCTGTGGATTCTTCCTATCTTATTTATTTTCTGTGGGTGGGAAAAATAAAGGCCTTTGCTTACGCAATCCCAAGCAAGATGGAGGAAATAATTGCTGACATTTGTACTGGCCTAAGGAAGGAGTTAAGAAGGAAAGGAAAATTAATGATGAAGAGAAAAGGTGGCTTTAGGTAAAGAGAGGTTTAGGTACACTAAGTCTGCATCTGGGGTTTCCTCTCTCTGCTCCCTCCATGTTAACAAGGGTAATTCATGGATCCGTGTGTTAATCCTCCATCAGCCCTTCCAAAAATCTTTTCCCTCTACTCCAGGGTTATAGTTTTGTCTACAAGGATCTTTCCTAATGATACACTCCCTACCCTTAGTATCTCTGAAAAATCAACTACTGAGTTTTAGCAGAGACCTCCATCATCAAATTCAATTCAATAAAGCATCTGCTAGATGGCCCAGTGGATAGAGCACCAGCCCTGGAATCAGGAGGTCCTGAATTCAAATCCAGCCTCAGATATTTACTAGCTGTTCGATCCTAGGCGAGTCATTTAATCCCAATCACCTAAAAAAATTTTTTTAAAAAGCATCTATTAAGTCTTTACCATGTGCCAGGCACTGTACTAGACCCTGGGGTTACAGGAATTCATGCTTTTATATTCTATCACATATTCAGGTAGTTGATGTCCATCACAGCCCTGTCCACTTTGAGATTTGCCTCTCTAATTTATCACACATCCTTCAGATAACTTGGTGATTTGTAGTTTATATATACCACCTTATCTCTTCCATTTTCCCCCTCCTTAATCTTTAGGCACATTTTTTTATACTATGCTTCTTCCTTCAGGTTCATGATATAAAGGGGTGGGGTAGGGATGAAAGGATCCCCCTGAACAACTGAAAGAATTCCACAGTCAACTGGATGATATTGCAAGTCTTGGACCCTTGGAGAAGGGCATCACCTACAAAGGCATATACGTCAAATCTTGAGTCAACAAGCATTTATTAGACATCTACTATGTGTCAGGCACTGTGCTGAATTCTGGGAATATAAAGAAAGGCCAACCCCTCCCCCTCCAACAACCAACAACAAACAGTTCCTGTTTTCTTTTTTTAACTTAATATTTTATTTTTCACCAATTACATGTAAAAACAATTTTAACATTTATTTTAAAAAAAATTGAGTTCCAAATTCTCTCCCTCCTCTCTCCCCTCGACCCCTCATTGAGAAGGCAAGTGATTTGATATAGGTTTTGCATGTCTAGTCATACAACCCATATTTCCATGTTTAGTCATGTTGTGATAGAAAACACTGACAAAAAAAAACCTCCAGAAAAATAAAGTGAAAATAGTATGCTTCTATCTGCATTCAGACTCTACCAGTTATTTCTCTGGATGTGGATTGCAGTTTTCACATAAGTCCAGAATTGTCTTGGATCATTGTATTGCTGAGATTAGCTAAGTCATTCACAGTTGATCATCATACAATATTGCAATTACTGTACACAATGTTCTCCCAGTTCTGCTCATTTTACACAATTTCTGCTTTCAAGGAGCTTATAGTCCAGCAAGGGAGACATTATGTGAACAACTACCTACCAACAAGATGTCTGTAGGACAAATCGGAGATGATCTCAGAGGGAAGGCACTATGGCTGTCTATGGACTGATGCCGAAGGTGTGATTCGGCTGAGACTCAAAGAAAGATATGTATTCTAGTCCCACTTGAGAGAGCACAGGGAGCTCCTCTGTTGGTCTCTATTGATTGGGACTGTCTCCTAGATTACTGACAACAGAGAATCAGCAAAGGCAGATTACTCAGTTGAATTGTCCTTTCTTCCTTGGTCTATAAGAGTGAGCAGGGAAATAGCTTGGTTTTTTTCCTTTTAATGCAATTTCTCTTCCTTGGACTTCTAGCACAGCAAAGGACAGCAGGCTTCTCATTCATTCTTTTAGCGCAATAATTTTTACGGATGAAGAATCCGAGGCCACAAAAATAGAAATGGGCAGAACTGGGATCTAAACTGGAGTTTTCTGACCCCATATCTAGTACTCTGTCTATAATACCATGCAACTAATACTCATTTAATAATTTCATTTGAATAATAGGATGCTGGGGAGATGCGGCAATAGGATGGAGCTTCAGATTGAAGAGAAGCGGCAGAGATAAGTGCTTCCTCTTTCTCCCAGGAGCAGAAAATATCTACTGGAAGAAACCCATATTGGACTTGTACAAGAGGCCTGAGGAATGAGTTTGTAGACCTCCAATTCCTGGTTTGCTGCTGCTTTTCAGATGCCTTTCTGAACACAGATCAGAGACTGGCTCTTATGGATACTTTGTGGCTTGTTTATTTTTTTTTGTGATGAGAGAATTAAAGGCTGTCCCATACTTATTTCCAAGCAGGTTGGAGGAAGTAATAGTTTCAGGAACAACAGTTCCTGAAAATTAATTTTCTATACAAAAGTTCTTGAAATTTGATGCAAAACTTCCCAGGGAAAGGAGATTTCCTCAGTAGCATGTTCCTTGAGTCCAGAGAAGATCAGTAGAGGCTCATCCTAAGGGACTAAATACCTTAGTATGTGCAGGGAAGACATCTGGACCTCCCCAACATTCCTACTTGCCAAGGGTTGCTTGGTCAGGGCAGGTTCTAGGTGAATGAGAAGTGCTTGTTCAACATCCTTGTGAGGGTCTTTATTTAAATACACCTGTCTGAACTTCTTCATTGGCTCTTGGGGATCTTATTAATTTTCTGTAGTGGCAAAAATAAAGATTGTCCCATGCCCAATTCCCTTATTGCTGTGTGGGAACTGAGGACTCACTTGTCTGCTTTGGGGGAAACCTAGATGCAAGCCTAAGATTTATTCAGTAGATTACCCCCAGAGTAATGTAGGATCAGGATCTTAGTCAAAGACAGAGGATTAATCCTTTGAGTGTCAGGCCCCAAGAACTGGACCCAATGTCATCTCAGAGTTCTTGGGACACCATTGGGTTACAGGGGATTGACCCTGAAGTACATATATTAAGGGACAAAGCTATTCTGCTATTTTTTCTATCTCATTTCTTCCTTTTTAATGCATACTTTTTTCATTGCTATTTTCCGATCATGAATCATGTTCTGTGATTACTACAAGGTCATAGGATGTCTTTAAGAACTTCAGAAGCAGTGGAGTTTTTTTTAAGGACTTGAAGAGACATGACTATGGGACAAGTAGTATAGTGTCATTGAAAAATCAGTGCATCTCAAGTCCAAGGACCTGGGTTCACATCTCCTCTTTGTAATTTATGACCTATGTGATTTCTTGGGCACATCAGTCAATCAATCAATAAATGTTTATTAAGTTGCCACTATGTGGCAGGTACTGTCCTAGGTGCTGGGGATATAGGTACAGGTACACAAATGAAATGAGGCCCAACTCCAAAGGCTCTTACATTCTAAGGGAGGTTATACGTGCATACAAATATGAGCAACATAAATCTCTCCTTCTTTTCTCTTTCTCTGTGTCTCTGTCTCTGTATGTCTCTATCTCTATCTGTCTCTGTCTCTCTCTCTGTCTCTCTCTCCTCCTCACCCCAGTGTTCGTATCAAAATATTGAATTAGAATAGTATATAGAAGCAAATAAGAGGTAATGAGCAAGCAAATGAACCATTCTTAGCACTTCATACATCAATGGATCCAGTTTCTTAGAGACATCTCTTGATGGGTAGAAGAACAGATCTCCAGAAGATTCATGGTGTCAGGTCAGGTGGGAAGCTGTCTCATATTACAGCTGGAAACTCTGCCTACCTAAGTCCACCTGGCTCCGTCTGTCTCCTCTAGCACCTGGGCAAAGTCAAAAGAGGGAGCTGTGTGCTCCCATCCAGGTGAGGACTGCTCTGCTACTGGAGTTGTCCTCGGCTGAAGTTCTACCCTCTCTGCTCTTGCTCTGCTGTGCTATGGGCTTCTGATCTGCAATCCACTGAAGCTTTGACCCTTGCTCTGCCTAGCTCTGCACTTATCTCTGCCACTCCTCTTCAGTCTGAAGCTCCATCCTATTGCCGCATCTCCCCTCAGCATCCTATTCTTCAAATGAAATTATTCAAGGAGTATTAATTGCATGGTATTATAGAAAGAGTCCTAGATTTGGGGTCAGAAGACTCCAGTCTAGATCCCAGCTCTGCCCATTTCTATTAATGTGGCCTCAGACTTTTCATCTGTAAAAATTATTGCACTAAAAGAATGAATGAGAGAGCATTTATTAAGTGCCTACTGTGTACCAAGTACTGGGATACAAATAAAAGATGAGACAATCCCTGAACTCAAGGCATTAACCTTCTAATGGTAGAAGGCAATATATATATAGAGAGAAGTAGTGGCCAGGGAGGAGTGTTTTGGTTTGGGAGTCACGAGATAGTGGGTGAAACCAAAGGGTCTTCGAAGTTCCTTCCAGTTCTGAATTTATGAACCTATCATCTTAACTTTTTAGTACGATCATCACTACTTGTGAAGCCTAGTTAGGAAGAACTTTGGCTAGTGACTGTATTTTCCTGTAATTATTAAACCTCTATCTATGGCTAATAGAGCTTCATCACAAAAGCTATCAGGGGCTAGGTTCAAATTCATACTCTACATGTTGTTGTTTAGTCATGTCCAACTCTTGGTGACCCCATTTGGGGTTTTCTTGGAAGAGATACTGGAGTGGTTTGTCATTTTCTTCTCCAGTTCTTTTTATAGATGAGGAAACTGAGGTAAACAGGGTTAAATGACTTGGCCAGGATCACACAACAGTGCCTGAAGCCAGATTTGAACTTAGGCAGATGAGTCTTCCTGACTTTAGGCCTGGTACTCTACCACTGTGCCATACTCTAAATACCATTTGGTAGTTTCCAGTCTGTTATAGTCTTTTAATCTCTTTTTAGCTCTTGAATGGTGAGAATATTAAAAAAGAAAAGTTGGGCTGATTTAATCTTTAGTCTTTTCCCAGGTCCCTAAAGCTGTCTTTGATTGTGTTGATGATGCTTCCCTTCTAATGACATGTGTCCCTGTGTAGCTTATACAAGTCTCTTACTTTTCAGATATACGCCTGTAGGGCAAATTTGAATCTCTTTCCCATTAAACTGGTGCAAACGAGGCTATCATATCAACTTTAAAGAGAGAGTTGCACTTGGCTGAGCAGTACAGAAGCCTAGCATATACTCACTAACTGGCCATCTATGGCATATCCTATTTCTTGGTATCCAGGAAACTGAAAATAATCCTGTTTTCTTTATCCAGGCCACAGCTGTCTTGGGCCAGGTTCCAATCATTTTGATCTGGTGAGGATTCTTGTTGGCAAAATAACCCGGCCGTGAATGGGCTATAATAACAGAGTGGTGACAGCTGAAATGCATTTCATCATTTTGATCTAGGTGAATGTTCTCAGTAGTATTGCTTGAAAACCATATGTTTTCTCCTCCTACCCTTATAGCACAAGGGATTTCTGAAAGCATCAAAAAGGCATTTTCTTTTTCTTCATTAAACTTTTGAGAACTAGAAATTATGAGACGGTGTGGCTAATATATCATTTTGTAAAACATGAAAATCAATAACTTGAGAAATGGAAAATTTCTCCCTCCATAAACCTCTCAGGAATCAATTCATCAAACATCACAACAAATTTGTTAGTTCTAATTATGATGTATCTCATTTTAAACATTTCTTATACTGTAATTGATCAAAAGCCTTCCTCACAGACTTCCCAAAGCAATTCATTAGTCCAATAAAAAATAATGAGAGCCAAAATTGGAATACACTAGTTTCTAAATCATTGCGTTAGAGAGAAGCTTAGCAGCTGCAAGTTGGCATAGAGAGAGATCAGATACAGCTGATTTATCAAAATGGATTGATCTTGTCAGTTTATATTCTGGGGTTCTGAGTCAGGGATACCATTAAGGTTTAGTACAGTTTACTAAGCTGGACCAAAATAAAGTTGGCCCAGATTCTAGTCACATTATGTGTTGTACTATTGGGAGTAGTAGAATTTAGAATTTATTTAGCAGGAAAGTCTTGTTTATTCATTTAAATGATCAATAAACAGGAAAAACATACTTTTTTCTTTCTATAGCAAAAGTAACAGGTTTTTAAAAATCTCCTTTCAAACTGGAAAGTCTGCTCCTGTTCTTACCCAAACAATGAGAACCTATTGGGATATGGCATGTTTTGGCCGATGAGCCAAACAATGGAATGGGAAAGTCAACTAGGGGCTTCCAATGCAGGTGTAGATCATCCCTATAACCCTTCACATGTAACCATTTGGGGAGAACTTTGATAACATAAGTGAATTGTAGATCAGAGTACTGAACGGCTGCCTAATCTGATAACTTCCGCCCTGCTCTCTTGCTGGGTGGCTCAGATGAAAGAGCTGTTAGACCCCAGAGTTAGAGGACTGCACATGATCATCTAGCTGCTATGTGACCTTGAGGAAATCACTTAATTTCAGTAGGCCTCAATTTCCTCATCTGTAAAAAAATAAAGGAGTTAGCCACCTCTAGATCTATGATTTCTTTGGTTAAAGCTTAGTTTCCTTATATCTACTGTAATCCAGATCAATAGATTGCACCTGATCTTGGGCCTTCTGGGCAGCCCAGTTACCAGTTCTAGATCTTGGGCTTTTCCCTAAGCTCTTGTAGGAACCCTGAGGCGTTGTGAGCTCTTCACAGATGCTCTGGGTAGTCAGATCACTCACAACCCTCCAGGTCACATTGGCTTTATTGAAGGGGAGTGTATGCGAGTGAATGTGACAATTATATGTACATACACATGGGTGTACACATGTATATACATATACACAATGCATTTGTGCATGCATGCACAGTGTTTAGGTACAGAAAGTATTTGACACATGTGTGTGCATATACCTGTGTTCATATAAATGCATACATATGTATGTACTTATGTATGTATATGTGTACCTACAGGATAGCTACGTGGAGATAGTGCAAGGCCTGGAGTCAGGAAGACCCATCTTCAAATCTAGCCTCAGACACTTACTAGTTGTATGACCTGGTCAAGTTATTTAACCCTGTTTGCCTCAGTTTCCACCTCTGTCAAATGAGCTGGGGAAGGAAATGACAAACCACACCAACATGTACATATACGTGTGTGTGTGTGTGTGTGTGTGTGTGTGTGTGTGTGTGTGTGTGTG